CCTCACGCTTGGCGCCAATGGGTTTTTTATTTGAGAAAAAAAGACTATGCCTTCACTGTATGAAATATATTAAGTAATAATAGCATGGCACTTTGAATTCGATATGAGAAAATTTTTTTCTATTTTCTTTTCAAAACATTCGATTGGGTATCGAAAGAGTAGTATGAGATGAAGAGTATTCCTGATTTTTTTATATCAGGAGTCCGTTGTAGCGTCACAAACTTTTTTTATGAAAAAAACTCTATTTATGTTTGAAAGAGTACAAAAAATTTCTTCCTTTTTTTTCGGATCAAAAAGAAACTTTGGGATTGCTGAACTACAAACGAAATAAATATCAAGCAACGGAGCCATCATAGTATTTTTGAACTCCTACGAAAAGAAGGGTGGTAATTGGATAATTTACTGATCTGGATCTGATCGATTCGATATTTTCTCCTTTTTCAACAGAAAATAAAAAAAAGTAAATTCCATTGTAGAGCCGTATGCAATGTGAAAAAGATGCACGTACGGTTGTTCAATTCTATATTTTTCGTGTTATTCCGTATTTTTTTTTCTCTTCGCCTCATTGTGTTGTGCGAGATAGAAGAATTCTTTTTAGGGTATATCATCAGGGTAATGATTCATCAACCCGCGAGCTCTTTTTATGAGGCCCAAACGGGAGAATTTCTCCTGGAAGCGGAAGAACTTTTGAAATTGCGCGAAACCCTCACAAGGGTTTATGGACAAAGAACGGGGAAACCCTTATGGATTATATCCGAAGATATGGAAAGGGATGTTTTTATGTCAGCAACAGAAGCCCAAGCCCATGGAATTATTGATCTTGTCGCGGTCGAATAAAATGAATAAAAAAAGCGAAACATTTTAAATTTTATCTTGTTACTGGGTTTACCATATTCTGGGTTTAATATTCTATTAACTAGAAATACTTTCGGTTAGGATTGATCTAAACCAGCCCATTATGTATACGATTCAGCATGCCAACTATTAAACAACTTATTAGAAACACAAGACAGCCAATCAGAAATGTAACGAAATCCCCCGCGCTTCGGGGATGCCCTCAGCGCCGAGGAACATGTACTAGGGTGTATGTGTGACTCGTTCCGATTATGAGCTGGAACAAAAACAAAAGAAATAATTTTTCCAGTATCAATGATCAGTACTGGTGAATGGAATAGTATAAAACTCCTGTCACTATCTAAAACGAATAAAATGAAAAAGATCTATTCATCTATTGAGTATGAAATTTATGGTTTCTGTCAGTCTAAATCGGATTTAAGATACGACAATTAAAATTTCCCATTGGTAGCGAACGTTATCCATTTAGCGGGGAATCCTTTTTTAAGAGCAAAAAATTCCTGCTCCCATTTTTAGAAGAACGGACTAACAGGGTCAGCTATCCAGCTAACTTTCAAAATTAAATACCGTTACTGTATAGGTGGATCTCATTGTGAAAGACCTATTACTGGATAATTCATGGGTAGAGCCAAAATGTTTGAACTGTACAAGTTATTAATAAGATTCTGGAAATGAAGTAGAAGTAAAGGGCTCCGGTGTATAGAAAGGACCTCACCGTTTAAAAAGGAACCATAGAAACGAAGGAACCCACTATTTCTTTAATCATCTATATTTAACTTGAATTTACATTTTTTTAGTTACTTTTGTTTGATACATTAATACAATTTTTCTTTTTTTTGTCTTGTTTTAAGGTGAAATGTCAAAAAAAAAAAGAAAAAAATAGTGGTTGGGAAGGTTATAGTAGCAAAAGCCATTGGAATTTTTATTTTATACATTGGAAAAATCCGTTTTGTTATTGATAGACCAGGAGAAAAAAGAATAACTCAAAGAAAGAAAATTAATAAGTTATTCATCAAAGTTACATTTATTCAATGACTAGAGTTAAACGAGGATATATAGCTCGAAGACGCAGAAACAAAATTCGTCTTTTTGGATCAAGCTTTCGAGGGGCTCATTCAAGACTTACTCGAACTATTGCTCAACAGAAAATAAGAGCTTTGGTTTCGTCTCATCGGGATAGAGATAGACAAAAGAGAGATTTTCGCCGTTTGTGGATCACTCGGATAAATGCAGCAATTCGCGAAAGGGGGGTATACTATAATTATAGTAAATTTATACATGATCTGTACAACAGACAGTTGCTTCTTAATCGTAAAATACTTGCACAAATAGCTATATTCAATCCAAATTGTATTTCTATTATTTACAATGAGATCATAAAAAAAGAAAATTGCAAAAAATACCTCGAAATGATTTAAATGAAGTTCCCCGGAGTTTATTCTCCGGGAGTATTAAAGTAGGAATTAGTCTGATAAAGTACGATAAATAAATAAAAATCAACAAATCCATTCAAAAAAAATTCCCAATTTTTATATTATCTTACGACGTGACAATCAAATTTCGATTTTTCTAGATTATCCGATTTTTTTAGAATAAAACCCCAATTTGTGCTTGAGTTCAGATTCAAATTTTGATTCAATTCCATTATCAATTAAATAAGGAATAAGTCTATTTTTTATTTATTTTTGGTTCTAAAACTCGCAGTTCTAGTAGTCGACTCGGTTCTTTCAAACTGTTTTTCATTATTAAGAAAAGGTAACAAAGATAAAATACGAGCTTGTTTTATAGCACTAGTAATTAATCGTTGTTGTTTCAAGGTCAATCTATTCACCCGCCTAGATAAAATTTTTCCTTGTTCACTAATAAATCGACTAATTAAACTCATGTTTCTATAATCAATTCGATCCCCCGATTGAATCGGGGGCAAACGCCTACGAAAAGATCGCTTGGATTTAATAAGGGGTCGCTTAGATTTATCCATAGTTTGTTTAGTTTATTACTTATACCAAAAATCCTATTTCTTAATTCGAATTTTTTTTTAGGTCCAGCCAAAATAGGATTTTCTTTGTTTATTTCATAATTATTTTATATATTATATATAATAATTATGAAATATTGAATATGAAAATATATTTTCTAGTAAAAAAAAGAGTAAATAATATATATATTTCTTATATAATGAAAAATGAAAATTGTTTTGTCTCCTTACTTGAAGGGATAATAAACAGACGTTCAGTTTGATCTATTTCTTTATCTCTCCATGAATTGTATGTTTGGAACAATAGGGACAGAATTTTCGCAATTCCAACCGACTAGGCGTATTGTGGCGATTCTTTTGGGTAATATATCTGGAAACGCCCCTTGATCCCTTATTAACACTCTTTCGAACACAACTAGTACATTCCAAAATAACCTTTACTCGGACATCTTTACCCTTAGCCATGAACCCCCTTTTGGTATTTAATTCAAGCAACTTTTCCATTTTTTCCCTTCTTCAAGAAAAATAGAAAAGTTGCTAAAATAGAAGTTGCTAACTAGAAATACAATTCGCAATTCGAAAGATTTTGTGGAAATCAATAGAGTAATAATAGTTAAGTAAAGAACTACTGCGTAATCAAATTCAAAAGGGTTTCTAACTAGATATCTCTCTAATCATAGTATTTCATTTAAATATCGTGTAGAAAACTCTTAACTTAACCTGAACCTAAGTTTTTGGAAGGTTGAATCCACTTTTCTTCTTTACTAAACTAACCCTCTTTTTTAGAATAAATAAAAAAGGGTAGGGATTATTCACAGGTAGTTGCTTCTATCTCGAATCTTCGCTAAACCCTTTCCGTATTAATAACTAGAATGAAAAAAAGGGGAATGTCAACGCATCTGGAAAAAAACGATTGATTTCTATTAATATACCGGCTAAAGACCCAAACCATAAAGTACTTAGGACCGGTGCCACGGAAAGGTATGTTTTGAAATCTCGCATTGAAAATCCTCCTTTTGAATTTCTTTAATTGAAAAAATAAAGTAATACATATTGGATCTATGATCGGATGTATATATGATAGTTAAAGAATACTTGTCTTTGTACACAAAATGCCTAAGCTAAGTCAAATGAAAATTTCCAATAATAGAATTTAACGAGATTTTTTTAAGAAAAAGAATAGCATGTCCCTTATCTACCGAACTGAGCATTCCTACAACATATTTTTTTTAGTTTACGATAGGTTTTAATATACAAATACTTTCTATTATACCTTAGTATGAGAAGAGGCCGAAAAGAAGAGGAAATAGTCGAGCAAAAAAAATTCTGTATTTTCTTTTTATGGAAAAAAAGAATGTGGAAAACAAGGCAAGGATTCTTTACAATTACACTATAAAAACGAATTGAATTGAAAGGGATGTAGCGCAGCTTGGTAGCGCGTTTGTTTTGGGTACAAAATGTCACGGGTTCAAATCCTGTCATCCCTACCTAATTACTTTTACTCTGAGAAGTAAGGAGGAATTTATTGAAATTTTGATTAAAATCGAAGATACGGAATCTCTCTTTTTTTATGATACCTTATATGGTAGATAATCTATGCATACAGGATGTAGATATAGTTTTGAGTTATAAAAAACCATTCTTTCCAATCTTTCTTATCTATTGTGATAAGAAAGCGCTCTTAGTTCAGTTCGGTAGAACGTGGGTCTCCAAAACCCGATGTCGTAGGTTCAAATCCTACAGAGCGTGATTCCATTGTTGTTAAGTCAAGTTGAATTATAGAAATAGAAAAGAATTAGACTAAACTAAATGAACAGTAATCTAATCGAAAATTGACCTCCTGTTGATTTGAGAAAGGAGGAGGTCAATCAAAAAAAGATTTGTTAATTAATCAAAGATCCAACTGATCACCGCGTCTGTATTGTAAATATGCGGTCACAAATAATCCAGCCAAAGTAATAGGAATTAGACCTAAGACGATTCCAAATAGAAAAACTTCAATCATTTCAATTCGTTTGAAAAAAAAAAAGAAAGGTAATATCTATCCCTAAATATGAATCTGAATTCCCCACGAATCTCAATAACCAAAATGTCGCAGTAAAGAACTCTAAAATAGACGGAATCCTACAGTACAGAAAGATTTCTTGAGTTGTTTATTCAATTCATTTCAAATAAGTCGTATCTTGCTTAGACCTATAAATAAAGCAGAGGTTATAGTTAACGCCGCTAGTAAAAAACCGAAATAACTAGTTAGAGTAGACATGAAGGGGCTAAAAAAAAGATGTTCTTTTTATACATATATGTTTCTAAAGTACTTACCTAAGTTTCCATTTGGAAAGCGAATAAGAAAAAAAGCAATTCAAAGGATCAAAGAATAAGTTCAATTGAAAGTTTTTGATTCATCAACTATTACATTTTCTTTTTTACATTATAAATGCCACTAACAAAAAAAAAGTAAGGGCCGTAGAAAAAAAAAAGAAATGACTCATTATCTGTGACATTTACACATCTCGTCATTTTGAATCAACGGATTTTTGGGGAAACCCTTGAGTAAACTAATCGAATATTAAACAAATAATAACTATGAAATTTTCTTCAAAAATGTTATTTATTTGAATCGCTATAAAATATAATAAAATGAAAAATAAATATATTTATTTTGTCCAACTCGATTCTAAGACTAAGACTTGCTACTATCTTTGCCTTTATAGGTTCCACGTTTAATATTATTTAGTTATAAATAGAAACCCGCATTCTTGCAGTTAGGTCAATAAAAACCTTTGGATTTAATGCAACAATGGATGTATTACAAAAATGCATTAATTGAAATCAATTAATGAATATTTTTTTTGAACAATTAAACAATCCCTAAAAATAGTAAAGTACGGAATTCCCCAAACCTCTTCTATTTCTATATCTATAACCGCTTCTTTTTCTGGAATTTTTCACGAATTATTAGATCGAAACCAACTTGTCCGATTTCCCCTTTCCTCGACCTTCAGTTTCGAGTCTGAAGCCAATAGAATGATAGAGAGAAACTGTATACTAGTTCTATTTGAAAAAATTTTCTATAGAAAAAACAAAATGGTGCCTAGTTCCACGTCGACAAAAAAAAAAATAAAGTCACGTGTACTTCAGTTCAATATTAATTAAAATTGCCTTGCTGTGTCCGAAGAAGGATAGCTATACTGATTCGGTATACTCTAAAGACACCTTTGGTACTCTATTGGTAATCCTACAGGTTTTTTACGTTTTTACGTAGAGTAAAAAGTAAATTTCCATTTACTGATTTCATCTTTTATGGATTTGCCTTTGACTGTACAAGAATATGTGGAGCTCAGTATGTCTGGAAGCACAGGAGAACGTTCTTTTGCTGATATTATTACAAGTATTCGATACTGGGTTATTCATAGTATTACTATACCCTCCCTATTCATTGCGGGTTGGTTATTCGTCAGCACGGGTTTAGCTTACGATGTGTTTGGAAGCCCTCGACCAAACGAATATTTCACAGAGAGCCGACAAGGAATTCCATTAATAACCGGACGTTTTGACTCTTTGGAGCAACTTGATGAATTTAGTAGATCCTTTTAGGAGGCCCAATGACCATAGATCGAACCTATCCAATTTTTACAGTGCGATGGCTGGCTATTCACGGACTGGCTGTACCTACCGTTTCTTTTTTGGGGTCAATATCCGCAATGCAGTTCATCCAACGATAAACAAAACCGAATCCGAATTATAGAGCTACGACACAATCAAACCCGAACGAACAAAATGTTGAATTGAATCGTACCAGTCTTTATTGGGGTCTATTACTCATTTTTGTACTTGCTGTTTTATTTTCTAATTATTTTTTCAATTAAATAAAGAGAAGGAAAGAAATAGATAGAATATAGAATTCGATTATAGAGTAGGAATTCTCTTATCCCATTCGGAAGGACCTCATTTCATAATTATCCATGACTGTTTATGTCTCTAGCACGACCACTTGATGAAATGTGGAGGGAAGTGGGGTAAATGGCCGATACTACTGGACGAATTCCTCTTTGGATAATAGGTACTGTAGCTGGTATTCTTGTGATCGGTTTACTAGGTATTTTCTTTTATGGTTCATATTCTGGATTAGGCTCATCTCTGTAGTAAGTAGTAATTTGATTAATCGAGGTATAGACATGAAAGTATAAGAACTCAACGGGACCTTCCTTCCCCCTCGAATTAGACAAACAAAGAAGGGGGAGGTCCCATTTAATTCTTTTTTTAATTATCATAATTTTTTATTCGAATTTTTTCCTATAAATGAAAAACAGACCCCTTTTTCGATGTTTTTGAAAAGTGTATTTGGTTATTCAGAACATATATTCCTCGATCATACTTATTGGTCCTTCCTAAATTGTTAAGTTAAAAGAAAGAGAAAAAGGCAATCAATTGATTTATTGAATGACCAAATAGAAGCTCTATTTTTCTAGATTAAATAGAATGCAAGAAGTTCCATTTGTTCAAGAAATTGACCTCTCTCTTTTTTTCAGTTTGTCCGCTCCTTATACATGTAATACTAAGAAAAAAAGAATCAATCTAAAACGAAAAAAGGGTGAAATTTCGAAAAAAGAAAAATTCCGACTAAGTCTTTGACGAAGGGAATCAAGACTCGTTACTATTTCGACACACGACAAGTATGTGTAAAAGTCCTTGTCGTGTGTCGAAGACCAGGAAGGCGGATAAATCCCCCTAGAATCATTTGGTCCCCTCATTATTCTTTTCGTTATATTCCCCTTTTAGTCTAGTATCGAGTCAAATTTCGATTGGAAAAAAGTAAAAAAGTTTTCTTCACAATCCAATATATTATTATAACTAAAAATCTTGCTCGTAGATGTAGAAGAAAAGTATAAACAAACAAAAAAGAACCTTCTCGTAATTTTTTTATTTATTGATCATCCAAAACTGTCAAAGAATTGTCAACAATAATTTTGTTATTGTTACAAGCTTGATCTTGATAAATTTACGAATCTAGAAATTCATTTCGGACAATTGAACCTTCTCGAACTGTTTCTTTTTAAGAACCAAAAAGATTTGTGCTAGAATAACGGATGCAAAGAAGAACAAAAGCCCTTGTACGCGCAGTGAATCTTGAAGGACTATTTCTGCATCTCCTTGACCAAATCCACCCACATTAGGATTACTCGTTAATGGTTGATCAAGTTTGATAGATTCACCCTCTGAAACAAGAAGCTCCGGTCCTGGCGGGATAATATCAACCACTTCACGTCCGTCCGAGGCATCCGCTATGTTTATTTCGTATCCGCCCTTTTCTTTTCGTACAATTTTCTTTACTATACCTGCTGTTGTGGCATTATAAACTGTATTATTACTCTTGCTTCCGTCAGGATAAATCTGACCCCTTCCCCTGTTACCACCTACATATATCGGATATTTTAAGAAGTAAACGTCTTTCTTAGTAGCAGGGTCTGGAGAAAGAATAGGAAAGGTAATTTCACTATATTTTTGCCCAGGAACAGGACCTATCACAAGAATATTTTTTTTATTGGGGCGATAGCTCTGAAAAGAAAGATTCCCTATCTTTTCTTTCATCTCTGGAGAAATACGGTCGGGGGGGGCTAATTCAAACCCTTCAGGTAAAATAAGAACAGCCCCCACATTCAAACCCCCCTTTTTGCCATTAGCAAGAACTTGTTTTAATTGCATATCATAAGGAATTCGAACAACTGCTTCAAATACAGTATCCGGAAGGACCGCTTGTGGAACCTCAATATCCACGGGCTTATTGGCTAAATGGCAATTAGCACATACAATACGTCCAGTCGCTTCTCGTGGATTTTCATAACCTTGCTGTGCGAAAATGGGATATGCATTCGAAATGGATGACCGAGTTATTATATATATCACGAGCGAGATGGAAATGGATCGAGTAATCTGTTCTTTTATCCAAGAAAAGGTATTTATAGTTTGCATGGTACAATCATTGATTCCGAAAATTTCTACAATAAATTTGGTAGGTTGCTAATAGAGTTCCCTATCCATGAGTCTGCTATTTACTTTAACTGAAAACTTAATTTATTAAAATAATATAATATTACTGGAATATAGGAGGAACTCCCCGCCTTAGACGGGTAGAAATAGAAAGAGGGGGTACAATTGGTCATGCTTTGATTATTGATTATGTACAAAGCAACATTCGAATTAAAAACTCCAATTGGATTTCTCTCCATATACCCCTTTTCTTTTTTTCAGTCATTCATTGAATGATAAATCACTACAAGTGATGGGGATACGCGATTTAAAGAACGGAAAATCCAATATTTTAAAAATGTATCTAGAATGACTGGAAAAGTGGAAACAAGACTCGATATAATTTGATCGTTATGGGCAAATCCAAAATCTTTGTAGATAGAGCTAATCAGTAGTTCCCAACCTTGGGGTGAATGAAATCCGATACATAAATCGGTTACTAAAAGAATGGAAAAAGCTTTTATTGTGTCGCTTAAGTTATATAGGAATTCCTGAACCCAAGAATTAAGAAGAATAAGTTCTTTATTTGCCAGAATGGAATAACCACCTAGAATAAGGAAACAGATTAAATTTGTGGAGAAGTGCAAAATCATATGGATACAATCTTCATTGTACGTCTTGATCAATTGAATCGTTTCATTGTGGATTCCTATACGAAGCTTTTGTAGATGTGTTTCCGGACATTCCTTTATCATTTCGTCCAACAAGCGGAGCTCCTCGAATTCGATCCATTTTTCGCGAAGATTTTTTTCTTGAATATCATTCAAAAAAGTTTCAGATTGCTTAGTATTCCACCAAGTAGTAACCCAAGATTCCAGACTTTTTTGAAATGATAGATAGATCCACCAGGGTAAAAATACTATAGATACAAGATATAGAAAAGGAATAAATGCTTTCTTTTTTTCCATTTTTTTTCATCTATAAATTGTTAATGAACCCAACCGGGTATTCATCGAAAGGAAGGAATTGCTTTCGACGAATACCCGGCGGAGCCATTTCGTTTTTTTCAATTAATGAATATTTTTTATTTTGATTTCAAGATGAAAGAACTCACTTTCTACCAAAATAGAAAATATTTCCAAAAATTGAACAAATTAACCATAGCACAAAAAAAGAATTTAAGACTTGAATGTGATAATAAAAATGGATGGCAAAACACGACAGAATTTGGATAATTTAATTCTCGTTATAATTAGAAATTATAAGAAATCAAATTATTTCATCATTAAAGCGAACAAAAGATTACTAAAAAAAGCGAGAAAATTTACATGATTAATTTGTTTTGTATGTAATATATCAATTACAAATACTGGAAATTCTATGGAATTGAATTGGTTTGTATTTGTAGACATAAACTCCCCCCTTTGGTTGTTCTGTATACGTCTGCTTTGACCCGAGTGGGCGTTCTGATGAGATTTCTGTTAAGGTATGCCGTAGAAAAACGTATTCTAGATTTTCTATTTTACGCCAAGTTAAGAAAACGTTCGGTCTTTCCGTTCATTTTTCAAAATCCTTCAATTGGGACACGCAAGAAATAGGCCAATTCAGCCGCCTTTTGTTCCATTTCTCGTGGAGTCAAATTCTCATCAGTACGAGTTAAAGGAATGGCTCCTTGTCCTCTGATTTCCAGATAAAGAACACGGCGAGTATAAATACCTTCTTTAAGTTCTATTCTAATAGACTGAATATCTTTTATAAGATATCGGAAAAAGATGCGACGATTTTTTCCAGGGAATCCCCAGCGAAAAATACAGACTATTCCCTTTTTTCTATCGAATCGATCATAACCACTACCCACATTCCACGAAATTGCACACCACAAATATGAGCTAATAAAGAGGCCTGCAATCCCATAGAAAGACATCACGATCCCTTGTGGAAAAAAAAGAATTTGCTGGGGAGGAAATAAAGATATCAAATTCTTACCAAGATAGCTGGAAATTCCAACCAACAAGAATCCTAATGAACCGAAAAAAAGGATAAAGGCCCAGCAGAAATTACTTATTTTTCGAGATCCCGTTATAAGTTCTACCCATATACGTTCTGATCGCCAATTCATACTAGATCCGGTTGCATTTAATTTGAATTGAAAGAATACCCCAAATGAATTGTACTTTCCTTACTCTGTCTTGTTTCCGATGTAACTCTCATCAACTAGTCCTATTTTGATGTCAGAGGTGTTTCACTTTTATTTATTTCTATTTTTTATTTTAGTTCGATCAAAATAATAACATCTACCCCTATATTGTATTGTCATTTTTCCATTTACATCACATACATAAGAGCTCGTTCATTTATGTTCGGAAGAAATCACGTGTTATACCATTCCGCTAAACATATATCTATATTATAATTCAAGTCTAAGTTTTTAAAAATGAGATTTTGACGAGACGATCTAAACAATCTTATTTTTTTGAACATGAAGAAATAAAGAAGCCATTGCAATCGCTGGAAATACTAGGCCTACTAAAGGCACAAAAATTGAGGGAAAGTTCATAGTTGTCATAGACCGGGTACCTCGATTTACGATATTGTAATTGTACCTGTTTGTTATATTTTTGTTGTTATTATCTTATTATATTAAAATTAATTAATTAGAATTCTATAGAATGAATATAGTATAGAATAAGTACAAGAAATGTAGAACTAAAAAAGCAATTCGATTTCTACATATAATATATGATAATCGCGTTTACTTTCTCTTTTTTTCTTTCTTTTGCTTTTACTAATTCAAAAAAATCGAAAAATAGAGGATTTATTATAAATTCAATTTCCAAAGCAGTCGTTAGAGTCCGATCCAAGAGGTATTTTAAATAAAGACTCCCCGACGAAAGATACAACCAAAAAGTTTTTTTTATTGGAATCTAAAGGAAATAAGCATGGAGGTTTTTGGTTCGCGACATCCTAATTTTGGAATAAAAAAAGCTTTTTGACACAAATATAAAAATTGCCCTTAATCCTCGCCTTTATTTTGATTCAAAGGAAAAAAAGCATGCAGCTGAAATAACTCACTTAGAACGCCTTTTAAAAGATTACGTGGTACGATTGGATCGAATAAACCCTTATGGAATAAAAACTCGGCTGCTTGTGACCCTTCAGGTACTGTCTTATTCAATGTTTGCTCAATTACTCTTTTACCCGCAAATGCAATGTAGGCGTTCGGTTCAGCAATAATGATATCCCCCAACATACCAAAGCTGGCGGTCACCCCACCAGTAGTAGGAGATGTAAGGATTGATACATAAAATAACTTTTTATTTGATTGATAATCATATAAAACAGACGAGATTTTCGCCATTTGCATTAAGCTCAAGCTTCCTTCTTGCATGCGTGCCCCCCCGGAAGCACATACTATAATAAGGGGGATTAATTTATTGGCAGCATACTCAATCAATCGGGTGATCTTTTCCCCTACTACGGATCCCATACTGCCTCCCATAAACTGAAAATCCATAACACCAATTGCTACAGGAATACCGTTTAGTTGACCTATACCTGTTTGAACAGCTTCAGTTAAACCTGTATTTATTTGATAAGAATCAATACGATCTTTATAAGCTTCCTCCTCCGAATGAAATTCGATAGGATCCATAGAGACCATACCTTCATCCATAGGATTCCAAGTACCAGGATCAATCAGAAGTTCGATTCTATCTGAACTACTCATTTTCAAATGATATCCACATTGTTCACAAATACCCATTTTTGACTTAAGTAATTTCTTGTAATTTAATGCATAACAATTTTCGCATTGAACCCACAAATGTTTATATTTTTGAGTTCCATCAAGATTTGTAGAATTTTCGATTTTAGTGAAATTACTGTCGTTCGTGATAATTCTTTTACTGAAACTTTCGCTGGTATTTCCACTTTCATTAAAAATGTAACTCAAAATGTAACTATCACTGTAATTGTCACTATCACTTAGGATGGAACTGCCACTACGGATTTGAGAATGAAGATAATTGTCAATGCAATTATTAATGTGATTATTCCAACTATCTTCAGTATAATCCATGGAATGATCATTATAAGTATCGCCACTCTTAGATCTAGAGTTCAGATAACTTGAATTCCAATAATTCGAAAAGGAACTTTGCAGTTCATTCAGAAAAGACGGATCGTTGTCAATCTCAAAAATTTGATTTTCAATATCGAAGTATAGGGAATAACTGTCCCCTTTACTATCTATAAGTAAAAAAAGAGTATCAGAGATGAAATTCCGAATGTCCATAACACGAACTAAATGATCAACATTACTATAACTAGAACTGTCACTATTTCTCCAACTATGAATGTTTTTTTCTGTATCATTTAGACTCGGATCTTCCGTTGTACTGGTATTTTCAGTAGGACCAAGACTGTCCATTGATTTACTTAATCCACACCCGTATCTGTGTTCTAACTCTTTTTTAGACAAGATCGAATTGAACCAACCCTTTTTCATAGAGTTTTCTTGCCTCCCATTCGCATGAAAAAAATCGATGAATAGTCATTATTTGATGAAAAAAAATTGAACATTTCTTGTCAGAATAAGCATCTAGATACAACCGTTCAGATTATTAACTAAATATTAATGAAGTATTATATTGAAAGAAAGAATTTTTTTATTAGAAGATAAAATTCACGCGTAAGAGAATGTTTAAGAACTTCGATTTCAGAATTGGAATCGGGTTGGTATATTTTTGATTTAAAAAATCGAGTTCGAGCAGAGTTGTTTCTGTTGATTGTATAAGGAAAAGAAAAAAAGACTACTTGTTTTACGCTTTGATAGGGAAGGTATATGTATGAAATCGAAAGTCTCTTTAACAATGTTTCCAATGAAATTTCTTTTCAAATTCAAACCCAGGCTTGGCTACAAATCAAATTCTACTAAACAAATCTAAGTAGGGTGTTCCTAGATCCATTTCTTCCATTCAATTGCAGTTGATTGGTTTTAACTAACAATCAAATATTACTAATTTATTAAACTATATAGTTTAATAAATTAGTAATATTCATTACTATATATTTAGTAGGGCTATACGGACTCGAACCGTAGACCTTCTCGGTAAAACCGATCAAACTTTGTATTCTCAAAATGATTTGAACTGTTTCAAAAACCCAACATGCATTTTTTTGCATTGGGCTTTTTCATTAACTGATATAAATATCAGCTAGTCTACCATATTTTTCTTGATAGAAAGAAAATGGTTCCGTGTGCTCAGATTCATTATTCATTTGAACTTTGATTCAAAAGCACTACCAAAGTGTTTCAAAGAAGAGTTATCTTGACGTAGGTTTGCCTTTGGCCTAGATGAATTTGAAAATTAAATGGAGTCTCTATCGTTTCGCTTAAAGAATCCAATATGAAACTTCATACACCTTAAAGTTCATAGGACGAAAAGAGATTTTTTGAGGCCCTTATACTCATTATGCCTAGCATTGAATAGGTTGGGTATTCACCCTATCAATATGTCAAATCAATAATGGGTTCTATTTGGTAACTAAATAGACACTTGAATTGGACCGAACTAGAATTAATTGTCAGGCTATTGTTCTCTATGTTTTGTTTCCTCAAAGCCTAGAGTAAGACATCGATTTTTCAAAAAGATTCATTCTTTTGATTGCATGATGGACTTCCCTGAAAAACATTGGCGCACGTGTAAACGAGGTGCTCTACCTAACTGAGCTATAGCCCTTGTGTTTATGCTCCATATTTTAGTATGGAGATAATTTCTTGTCAAGAGAAATATTCTACAATATACCATCATAGCTCTTTGATCCGTTTGATTTCTATTGCTTATAAGCAGTATTCGGTTTATAATCAATCTATGGAATGGTTATATTTAGTCCTCTTTCTAATGATAAAAGGCCTACTTAACTCAGCGGTTAGAGTGTTGCTTTCATACGGCGGAAGTCATTGGTTCAAATCCAATAGTAGGTAAAACTTATTAGATACCAAAGTCAGAGTCGAGGGTATTTAATAAGTTTTTCTACTTACCCTTTGGATTATTAAGACTATTAAATAGATTCTCTTTTTCTTTTTATTTTGTTGATTCAATCAACAAAATAAAAAGAAAAAGAGATCTTCTATATATTTAGATTCTATATATCGAAAGAGTGTACAAACAGAACTTCTTCTGATTATGATTATTTGGACGCACGCACCGACTGGTTACGAAGAAATCGGATTGCTAGCCTCTACTCGTGTCCTAGCTCGTCTCAAAGCTAAATTTGCTTCAATTACTTGTCTCTTTCCTTCCGCTTTCCTCAAGTTAGCTTCTGCTATTTCAAGAGTTTGCTGAGCTTCTTGTGAATCAATGTCACTACCCCTCTCAGCATCATTTACTAAAATCGTAATCTCATTATTGCCTATTCTAGCAAAACCTCCCATCAAAGCCATTGTTAACCATTGGTCGTTAAGACGTATTCTTAAAATTCCTATATCTACCGCTGTGGCAGTAGGGGCATGGTTTGGTAATACACCAATTTGGCCACTATTAGTAGATAAAATGATTTCTTTTACTTCTGAATTCCAAACACTTCGATTAGGAGTCAGTACACAAAGATTTAAAGTCATTTCTTTAATTTGCTCTCCATTTCTAAGTTCATAGCTTTCGCGGTAGCTTCGTCGATGTTACCTACCAAATAAAAAGCCTGCTCAGGAAGACCATCTAATTCTCCGGAAAGGATCAATTGAAACCCTCTAATTGTTTCTGTTAGACCAACATATTTTCCTGGAGAGCCCGTAAATACTTCTGCTACGAAAAAAGGTTGTGATAAGAAACGCTCAATTTTTCGTGCTCTTGCTACAGTTAAACGATCTTCTTCGGATAATTCGTCCAATCCAAGGATAGCTATAATGTCCTGAAGTTCTTTGTAACGCTGTAAGGTTTCCTTAACTTTTTGCGCAATTTCATAATGTTCCTCGCCAACAATTCTAGGTTGGAGCATAGTTGACGTTGAATCTAGCGGATCCACCGCTGGATAAATCCCTTTAGCGGCCAATCCCCTTGATAGTACGGTAGTAGCATCTAAATGTGCAAATGTCGTGGCAGGAGCGGGATCGGTCAAATCGTCCGCAGGTACATAAACTGCTTGAATCGAAGTTATGGAACCTTCTTTTGTAGAAGTAATTCTTTCCTGTAACGTACCCATTTCGGTACTAAGGGTAGGTTGATAGCCTACAGCGGAAGGCATTCTACCTAATAAGGCAGATACTTCAGATCCCGCTTGGACAAAACGGAAGATATTGTCGATAAATAGAAGTACGTCTTGTTCATTAACATCTCGAAAATATTCCGCCATAGTTAGGGCAGTCAACCCAACTCTCATACGCGCCCCTGGCGGTTCATTCATTTGCCCGTAGACTAAAGCCACCTTTGACTCTGCAATATTTTGTTCATTGATAACGCCGGATTCTTTCATTTCCATGTAAAGATCATTTCCTTCACGAGTACGTTCACCTACTCCGCCAAATACGGATACACCCCCATGCGCTTTTGCAATATTGTTAATCAATTCCATAATGAGTACTGTTTTCCCCACTCCCGCTCCCCCAAATAGTCCGATTTTTCCTCCACGACGATAGGGGGCTAAAAGATCTACCACTTTAATTCCTGTTTCAAAAATAGATAATTTTGTATCTAACTGTGTAAAGGCGGGCGCAGATCTATGAATAGGAGATGTTGTGCGAGTATCGACTGGACCCAAATTATCAACAGGCTCTCCAAGCACGTTAAAAATGCGACCGAGAGTCGCTCCCCCGACTGGAACGCTTAAAGGAGCTCCTGTGTCAATAACTTCCATCCCTCGCGTTAGACCATCTGTAGCACTCATAGCTACAGCCCTAACTCGATTATTTCCTAATAATTGTTGTACCTCACAAGTAACATTAATTGGTTCACTAGTAGTATCTCGACCTTTAACTACTAGAGCATTGTAAATATTGGGCATCTTTCCTGGAGGAAAAGCTACGTCCAGTACCGGACCAATAATTTGAGCGATACGCCCCAGGTTTTTTTTTTCAAGTGTGGAAACCCCAGGACTAGAAGTAGTAGGATTGATTCTCATAATATAAAGTATGTCGAAATTTTTTGCGAAAATGAAAATTATCGAATCCAAAAAAAAATGTCCGAAAGCAAGCTGATCGATTAATTAAAAAAGAAATTGGAGTTAGCAATCCATTTTGCCGGTACCAACAAAAGGACTGCAATTCAATTGCTTACTTTACGTTTTTGAATTATTGTATTCAATTCAATAACAATCCTAAGAAAGTCTTTTATTTGCCTATCATTATAGACAATCCTTTCTGTATTATCTATGGAAATCGAACCCGAACTCTAAAACTCTATTTTTTTATGATTCCTTATTTCTATCGCACTGGGACTTAGTTTGGATTTAGTAGATAGATTTATATCTAGCCTATTCTTTTACCCTTTCATGATGGAATTCTGCCTATTTTCACATCTAGGATATACATATACAACATATACCGCTGTCAAGAGTCAATTTCGAATTTTTTAGTTCTTTCAATTCAAATGGGGATACAAAATTAGAAACTTGAAAAACAACGGTTACGATTGGGTTGCGCCATATATATGAAAGAGTATACAATAATGATGTATTTGACAAATCAAATACATGGTCTATTAACGAACCGTTTTTTTTGATTAGTTGATAATATTAATTGAGAATTTTATGAAAGATTCCTATAAAAGGTTTCATTAGGGCCTAATTTATGTCGAGTAGACCTTGTTGCTTTGTTGTAAAAATTAAAAATTGAAGTTGTAGGGAGGGACTTATGTCACCACAAACAGAGACTAAAGCAAGCGTTGGATTTAAAGCTGGTGTTAAAGATTACAAATTGACTTATTATACTCCTGAGTATGAAACCCAAGATACTGATATCTTGGCAGCATTCCGAGTAAGTCCTCAACCGGGAGTTCCACCCGAAGAAGCGGGGGCTGCAGTAGCTGCTGAATCTTCTACTGGTACATGGACAACTGTATGGACCGACGGACTTACCAGTCTTGATCGTTACAAAGGACGATGCTACCACATCGAGCCTGTTGCTGGAGAAGAAAATCAATATATTTGTTATGTAGCGTATCCCTTAGACCTTTTTGAAGAAGGTTCTGTTACTAACATGTTTACTTCCATTGTGGGTAACGTATTTGGGTTCAAAGCTCTGCGTGCTCTACGTTTGGAGGATTTACGAATCCCTGTTGCTTATATAAAAACTTTCCAAGGCCCGCCTCACGGTATCCAAGTTGAGAGAGATAAATTGAACAAGTACGGCCGCCCCCTATTGGGATGCACTATTAAACCAAAATTGGGGTTATCCGCTAAAAACTATGGTCGAGCATGTTATGAATGTCTTCGTGGTGGACTTGATTTTACCAAAGATGATGAAAACGTGAACTCCCAGCCGTTTATGCGTTGGAGAGACCGTTTCCTATTTTGTGCCGAAGCTATTTATAAAGCACAAGCCGAAACAGGCGAAATCAAAGGTCATTACTTGAATGCTACTGCCGCTACATGTGAAGAAATGATAAAAAGGGCTGTATTTGCCAGAGAATTGGGAGCTCCTATCGTAATGCATGACTACTTAACAGGGGGATTCACTGCAAATACTAGCTTGGCTCATTATTGCCGAGATAATGGTCTACTTCTTCACATCCACCGTGCAATGCACGCAGTTATTGATAGACAGAAGAATCATGGTATGCACTTCCGTGTACTAGCTAAAGCATTACGTCTGTCTGGTGGAGATCATATTCATTCTGGTACCGTAGTAGGTAAGCTTGAAGGAGAAAGAGATATTACTTTAGGCTTTGTTGATTTACTACGTGATGATTATACTGAAAAAGACCGAAGTCGTGGTATTTATTTTACTCAATCTTGGGTTTCCACACCGGGTGTTCTGCCCGTTGCTTCGGGAGGTATTCACGTTTGGCATATGCCTGCTCTAACCGAGATCTTTGGGGATGATTCGGTACTACAGTTTGGTGGAGGAACTTTAGGACACCCTTGGGGGAATGCTCCGGGTGCTGTAGCGAATCGAGTAGCTCTAGAAGCATGTGTACAAGCTCGTAATGAGGGACGTGATCTTGCTCGCGAGGGTAATACAATTATTCGCGAGGCTAGCAAATGGAGTCCTGAACTAGCTGCTGCTTGTGAGATCTGGAAGGAAATCAAATTTGAATTCCCAGCAATGGATACAGTCTAGGCTAAGGAATTAATGTTCGGTTTCTTAGTTGAATTGTAATTAAACAAACTCGGCCCAATCTTTTACTAAAAGGATTGAGCCGAATACAATTATTGTAGATATATTCTATCCCTCTATTTAGCGAGACTTATTTCGATTAGATATACAGGCAAGATCTTAAATACAAACCTTGAATACTAAACAACTCAAATTTACTATTATTGTTTTGGATCTACAATTAATCCTACGGATCCCTAGGGTTGGTAGAATTCGTAAATTCTTATACATATTCCGTAGACTCGGACTATGGCTGTGGATATCAAGTCAAGTATACGAACTCCTTCTACCCGTCTTGTATATTGTCCTTTTCGTTCCGTATTAGAATAGAAATTTATTCGTTCTTATATTCGACGAGATTCTACGAAAAAAAATGAGAATTGAATTTGGAATTTTTTTGTTTAGGTCGAAAAATTCGAGGTGAAAGTGAGAAACTTTTCTTTGTATATGTATAAGAAAAGAACAAAAAACCTATCTATTTCTATAGAATTAAAAGTGGAATAGAAAAAAAAATGGAAATAAGATTCCAGTAAATCAGTCTTGAAACGAGAGACGTCCTGCAGTAAACAAACGAAACTTGGTTAGTTGGTTCAATCAAAATGAATTGTTGTTTTGACTAACGAGTTATGGATAACTTGACAATTCTAATTCGAATCAACTAATTCGACATATTTTCCGCATTCATAAGGAGTCCGTCTATGTTTCTACTTTATGAATATGATATTTTCTGGGCATTTTTAATAATATCAAGTGTTATTCCTATTTTAGCATTTCTATTTTCCGGAATTTTAGCTCCGATTAACAAAGGACCCGAGAAACTTTCTAGTTACGAGTCGGGTATAGAACCTATGGGGGATGCTTGGTTACAGTTTCGAATCCGTTATTATATGTTTGCTCTAGTTTTTGTTGTTTTTGATGTTGAAACAGTTTTTCTTTATCCATGGGCAATGAGTTTCGATATATTGGGTGTATCCGTATTTATAGAAGCTTTAATTTTCGTGCTTATCCTAATTGTTGGTTTAGTTTATGCATGGCGAAAAGGAGCATTGGAATGGTCTTAATTCCCGAATATTCCGACAAGAAAAAGAAAAAAAAAATAAGATTGAAACAGTTATGAATTCCATTGAGTTTCCACTACTTGATCGAATAGCCAAAAATTCTGTTATTTCAACTACGTCAAATGATCTTTCAAATTGGTCAAGACTCTCAAGTTTATGGCCGCTTCTCTACGGTACCAGTTGTTGTTTCATTGAATTTGCTTCATTAATAGGCTCGCGATTCGACTTTGATCGTTATGGACTCGTACCAAGATCGAGCCCTAGACAAGCGGACCTAATTTTAACAGCCGGTACCGTAACAATGAAAATGGCACCCTCTTTAGTGAGATTATATGAGCAAATGCCTGAACCAAAATATGTTATTGCTATGGGGGCGTGTACAATTACAGGGGGTATGTTCAGTACCGATTCTTATAGTACTGTTCGAGGAATCGATAAACTAATTCCCGTGGATGTCTATTTGCCGGGCTGCCCACCTAAACCCGAAGCAGTTATAGATGCTATAACAAAACTTCGTAAGAAAATATCTCGGGAACTCTATGAAGAGAGAATGAAGTCTCAACCGAAGAATCGGTGTTTTACTATCAATCACAATTTTCGTGTTGGGCGTAGTATTCATACCGGAAATTATGATCAAGGATTACTGTATAAATTTCCATCTACTTCCGAGATTCCTCCTGAAACATTTTTCAAATACAAAAGCTCCGCATCTTCACCCAAATTAGTGAATTAAACAGGATTCTTTTTTTGAAATTGTAAGCAGCAGGTCAATTTTAAGAAATTTCAGCATATCGTAAAGTAAATGGCAATAAAATATTTATACAAACAAATAAACAAATGAGGGAGATAGAAACAAAATGCAGGGTCGTTTGTCCGCTTGGCTAGTCAAATACGGGCTAGTTCATAGATCGTTGGGCTTTGATTACCAAGGAATAGAAACTTTACAAATAAAGCCCGAAGATTGGCATTCCATTGCTGTTATTTTATATGTATATGGTTACAATTATTTACGTTCTCAGTGTGCTTATGATGTCGCACCGGGCGGGCTGTTAGCTAGTGTGTATCATCTTACAAGAATCGAGTACGGTGTGGATCAACCGGAAGAGGTATGCATAAAAGTATTTGCTCCAAGGCAGAATCCTAGAATTCCGTCCGTCTTCTGGGTTTGGAAAAGTGCGGATTTTCAAGAACGGGAATCTTATGATATGCTGGGAATCTCGTATGATAATCATCCACGCCTAAAACGTATTTTAATGCCCGAAAGTTGGATAGGATGGCCCTTACGTAAGGATTATATTGTCCCAAATTTTTATGAAATACAAGATGCTTATTAAATGATAAGAAATTTATTTTCACTTCTACAACATCAGATATATAAAGATTCTTTATATGTTCTGCTCTAGATGAAACAGAAGAATTGATGGCCCATCGGTATTCTATTATGGATAAAGAAAAAAAGAAAAGACAAATGAAATTAAGTTAGGAATTCATTAAGATTCTAAAAAGGTGTCTTTTGGATGAGCTAAGAGCCGATAGAATGAACTAAAAAGTTCTGTATCATTATAAACAAATAAGAAAAATTGAAAACATAAAAAAATTCTTTATTTTAATTTTCTCTACCCATCTATCTATAAAATAGATGGGGTATATCGCAGGATAACCAGCGAAATACCTTATGTATGTGCCATGATCTCAGCTAGGAATGAATATGTATATCAATCCATCAAAAAAAGCATGTGATGTGCCAGGAACCAGATTTGAACTGGTGACACGAGGATTTTCAGTCCTCTGCTCTACCAGCTGAGCTATCCCGACCGTTCATTCACCTTTTTGGCGCACCATTTTCTAATTTCATTTTACTCGATAACTCGGGTTTATGTCAATTAAACGCACAAAAAGGATTACAAAGTCTTATATGCGTACCAGAATTCCTTGGGTTTTGCAAATTTTTCTATAATTAAGTTGATTTAAGTTTTAGTACGAGTAATAATATGAATTGTGAATCACTAAACTGAGTACCCCTTGCTCAAAAATATTTATTTCTAATCATATATATATCACAAGACTTGTGATAAGAGAAAAACATTTCCGTTCATATCCATTTTGAAAAGAAAAAGAGGTATAACCGCCTTCAACCCTTTAATGAAAAAGAGAACCACTTAGGGAGTAAAAAAATCTTTTGGGGATAGAGGGACTTGAACCCTCACGATTTTTAAAGTCGACGGATTTTCCTCTTACTATAAATTTCATTGTTGTCAGTATTGACATGTAGAACGGGACTCTATCTTTATTCTCGTCCGATTAATTAGTTCTTCCAAAGATCTATCAGACTATGGAGTGAATGATTTGATGAATGAATATTTGATTCTTTTTTGAACTTGAAATCGATTCAAAAAAAATTCTTCCATTTTTTCGTTTCATATTCTAAATTTTTTTTTAGAGAGAATATGAAACTCTCTCCTCTATCTAGAATAGAGAAATAATTCAAAAAAAAATATAGAATAGATTCGGGGTCTTAGTAATCATTTGATAAAGTATATTCTTCAACCTTTTTGGAGTGGGGGTTCGATGGAAGAATTCTTAGAACAACACAGCACAGTCAACCCCATTTGTTAGAACAGCTTCCTTTGAGTCTCTGCACCTATCCTTTTTTTATTGTTGCTTTCTGAATCTTTATTTTTTGCTTTTGACAAAAGGAGTTGGCTCAGGATTACCCATTTTTATTAATTCCAGGGTTTCTCTGAATTTGAAAGTTTTCACTTAGTAGGTCTCCATACTAAGGCTCAAGCCAATTAAGTCCGTAGCGTCTACCGATTTCGCCATATCCCCCCCCTTTCTTTTTAAGATTAGGATCTCCATGTGATGTCCTTCCCTTTTATTCTTTCATTTCTGACGGAACCGTCGAATTCATTAGATTTAATATGGATTACTATACCGAAAAATGCTTTCGCCATTTTCCTTTTTTTCTATCTTCCTTCATCTCTATCGGAAGTCTCCATTTGACTTTGATTTTGTCTAGTCAGACATGATTCTATACTTTCTGTAGCTACAATTCAATATCGAGGGATATATCCCATCTATATCCTTCGCCTCGTTCATTTTTGTATGCAATTTTGAATACTCAAAGGGTCGATTCTTTTTTTGTCATCATAGTCTACGGCTGCACACAGAAGAATATCTTTTTCTGTTAATATAATCCAGAGTTCTTCTTTATCGATTCTCATTTTTTTATTCTTGTTTATTTTAGGTTTTCTTAAGGCAGACTCTTATAACTCTAATAGTTATCCATTTCTTAGAATTATAGATATAATGAAAATTGTCATAATGAATTTTTGTTTTAATTTCGATTTGAAATGGATTTGAAAAATAAAATTTCATAGAATTTATAAATCTAATTGAAATAGAATCGAATCGTTCTAGACGAAAAATAGAATCTATATAGAAAGAAAAAAACTAAAGTAAATATTTCTATTTATTTGATATTTGATTTGAACTATTTCTTTCAAAAAAAAATTTATATCATAAAATAATAAAAATGAATAAGCTTACACTAAAATGTAGTTTATTGAATGCCAGTGCATGTATAATTTCCGGGAGCCCGCTTAGCTCAGAGGTTAGAGCATCGCATTTGTAATGCGATGGTCATCGGTTCGAGTCCGATAGCCGGCTTTTTCGATTTTTATTTGGATTTGTGCTTTTTATATATTTTTTTCTTTGAAATCGAAGAACAAAGAAAAAAATAATGATCGATTATGTTGTAGAAACTTCCACCTAGGAATAAAAAGAAAAGGGTTCAAGCTCGACAGACCAAATCAAATCGGGAAAACTCTTTCTTTTCCTTTTTCTTTTTACTTAGATATTTTAATACAAAATATAGAATATTCTATATATTTTGTATATGATGTATATACAACCCATTTCATTATTCATTGGAATCCAACACTTCAGTGGATTTCATTTCATTTATCATTTAGTTCAGTTTGAATTTCGGTTTTTTTGTAAAATCGAATATATATATATATAAATAGAAATAAAGAAAATAAATAAAGAAAGGAGTCTTTATGTCGCGTTACCGAGGGCCTCGTTTCAAAAAAATACGCCGTCTAGGGGCTTTACCCGGACTAACTAATAAAAGGCCTAGAGCCGGAAGTGATCTTAGAAACCAATCACGTTCCGGGAAAAGATCGCAATATCGTATTCGTCTAGAAGAAAAACAAAAATTACGTTTTCATTATGGTATTACAGAACGACAATTACTTAAATACGTTCGTATCGCCAGAAAAGCCAAAGGGTCAACAGGGCAGGTTTTACTACAATTACTTGAAATGCGTTTGGATAACATCCTTTTTCGATTGGGCATGGCTCCGACTATTCCTGGAGCCCGCCAATTAGTTAACCATAGACATATTTTAGTTAACGGCCATATAGTAGATATACCAAGTTATCGTTGCAAACCCAAGGATACTATTATGGCGAGGGAGGAACAAAAATCCAGAGCTCTAATTCAAAATTCTCTTGATTTATCCCCCCGTGAGGAATTACCTAAACATTTGACCCTTAACCCATTTCCATATAAAGGATTAGTCAATCAAATAATAGATAGTAAGTGGGTCGGTTTGCAAATCAATGAATTGCTGGTGGTAGAATATTATTCTCGTCAGACGTAACCCTAACTAAAATACAAAAGAAAGGGGTTCGGACAATTTGGCCCCTTTCCTTTGGAAACGGAAAATGACTTAAGGTTAAAAGTAAAAGTGGGGGGTTTGCCCCAGATTTTCTCCCGCTCATATATTCTATCCCATCCCGGTTTTTTCCTATTCATGTATCCTAGATACACAGAAAAATTTTCACTCCTTGTCTATTCTTTTATTTCCAGTATTTTAGGTATCGCAGCAATTCGAAATAGAAGAAATATATATAAAAATACAAGAAGGACCCAACTCTTATGTTCTAAATAAAGTATTTCTTGTTATTTGATTTGTTAAAGTTAGAAATGTTGGCGAATTCATTCAGGTGAAAGTAAAAGACGGAAAGAGAGGGATTCGAACCCTCGGTAAACAAAAGCCTACATAGCAGTTCCAATGCTACGCCTTGAACCGCTCGGCCATCTCTCCTACACAATGATTATGACTCATAAACCGAAGAAATAGCGAGCCATTACTATGTTGATATTTCTATTACTAACGATATTCGATTTTTGTTTGTATAAAATAGGTACGACTAGGATTAACGCAGCAATACTATACTATTTGACTATAAACAAACTACTAATAGAACGTAAGGAGTAGTAATGTAATAGAAGATTTTTTCGAAAAAAGTAGGAGTTAATTAAAATAAAAAACAAGTTTTTCCTTGTTATATATTTATTGATTCATATTTGCGAAGATGATGTTCCTATCCTTTATTCTATATCCCATATTTCCATATATAATATACCGGCTTCGATCAATTAATTGAAACGAATCGAATCAACGGATTGATGGGTTTATGGTTTTTAGATTATAGACGATTAATGGATCCCTTTTGATCATGGTTCGATTTTTATTTCGACTAGAATTCCATAAAATTCTCAAAAAAAAATTAGAAAATTTCCGTCTAGTTTTAAAGTGCTCACCAACAAATTTCTTAAATTTCCCAGCTATTCTATTTCCATCATAGAATGATTATTCGATTCTCTTTCTTTTCGTCTTTCGATCAAAACTTTTTTTGATCGGATCGAAAAATTCTTTGATTCTTCCGCTTCGATGAAATCGGAATAGCTACTAGACTACTCGATTTGATTTGTATGAATTCAAATGGGATTCAACTCTTTTTTATTGATTGTTGAAAAAGGAGTTGGGGGCTTTTGGAACAATTCGAATAAATAAAATAGAAGTATACGTAGTAGTCAAAAATTTGTATCTTTATTGAAATTTTTTTGTTTGGAAAGGAATCCGTTTTTATGTTATTTTGTACTGTACAAATTCTTTATTTGTGTAATCGTTTTCCCACTAAGGGGTAATGAGAAGAATTTTATAATGGATTGATACCTATGCCTAGATCGCGGATAAATGGAAATTTTATTGATAAGACCTTTTCAATTGTGGCCGATATCTTATTACGACTAATTCCGACAACTTCAGGAGAAAAGGAGGCATTTACTTATTACAGAGATGGTGTGATTTGATTTTCTTTATTATTTAGTTTCTTTTTACTGCTCCTAGTCTTATGAGAAAAGCACACACTTCGGGATAGTAAAGAACAAATATTCTTAATTCCATATTATAGAAACAAACCTACGCTTGTTGAAGGTGAAGTTTAGAAATAGAACGATTCCTTCCGTCGTGTATCCCCG